GAACCAGAATGCTAACCAGTTTGGCAACCAGAGCCCGACAAACATTTTACAACAACATTTTCCTCAACCTAATTTTCAAGGGTCACCAGGGACGCCATTACACCAAAACCAGCAGGTAGTGAGCAATGATCAGACAATGTCATTGATATTACAAAAACTAGAATGTATCGATAAAAGATTAGGCCAGCTGGACAGTATACAGGTATCGGTGAACGAAATAACGGTAAAAATGGATACGCTCGATAAAAGGGTAAAGGTCATGGAAATGAAAGTGTCCGAAATTGAGAAGAGTAGGGACTTTGATTCAAATAACGCCGACTGCTTAAAAGAAAAACAAAAAGTTATAGAGCAATTAGTGAACAAACTCGAGGCCAGCCAAGAGATGCAGAAAAAGAAGGAAAATGAATTCCAGGCTACGCTGCTGCAAATGAAAGCAAAAGACTTACAAAACAATCTTATGTTTTACAAAGTGCCCGAAGAAAAAGACGAGACTGCAGACATATGCAAAGATAAAATCTTTAATATCATGCAAGAAAACATGAAAATAGACGAAGCGAAGCATAATATCAAAATAGAATCTGCGCTCAGAATTGGAAAATACGGTTTTGGTAAAACAAGACCAATACTGGTTAAATTCGATTCCCAAGATGACAGAGAAAAGGTGCGTAAATCAGCGCCCAATTTGAAAGACACCCATTACGGGGTAAGCCCACAATACCCTAAAGAAATTCTGGAAAAAAGACGCAAGCTTGTCCCTCTTATGAAAGCAGCAAAATCAAGAAACCAGAAAGCGTACATTTCGTGGGACAAATTATATATCGACGGCAAACTACACGAGATAACTGCCGAAACGCAAGGGGCCGACGGGCCGTTGCCGGATGCCGGCGGAAGTATATAGGATGAACGCGAGAATTATATTGATGTTTTATGTTGGAACGTCGAAGGTATGACAAACTTAAAAAAGGAAAACAAAGATTTTTTAAACACTATCGAGGGGTATGACATTGTGTGTCTAAGCGAAACCTGGACTACAAAAACTTCAAAAATTGACTTAAAAGGATATAATGCTCCTATTCATTCATACCGTAGATTTCAAAACAGAAGAGCCAAACGATCAAGTGGCGGGCTTATCATTTACATTAAAAATAATATCCGAAAAGGAGTGAAACTAATAAAAAATGATGTCGATTATATTATCTGGCTTAAGCTCGATAAAACTTTTTTCAATACGGACAAAGATTGGTACCTAGCGTTTACATATATCGCGCCGGAATCATCTGTAATACACAATTTATATAATGTTGACGTTTTTCAAAAAATACAGAACGAAGTATTAGAATACTCAGAATTAGGCCGAACTATTTTATTTGGTGACCTTAACAGTAGAGTGGGACAAAAGAAGGATTATATTGAGCTTGAAAGCGTGCTAACACAGGATTTAACGGACGACTTGAATGACTCTCCGCCTCCACGCCGATCTTTTGACCAACGATCAAATCGTTTTGGAGATAACCTCTTAGATCTTTGTAAAACGGTAAACATGTGTATTTGTAACGGAAGGATTAACAATGACCCGGGGAAATTCACGTGTATAACAGCAAATGGCGAAAGCGAAATTGACCTTGTGTTAACTAGGTTCTCAAACTTTGAATACCTGAAACATTTTAATGTGAGCGAATATAACGAATTTTCCAATCACGCTACAGTATCGTTTTCAATTGAAGTAAATAATTACAAATATGAACCGAAAGTGCGATCTTTTACCTGCTCGAAATGGAATAATGAATACCGGCAAGAATTTCGAGATAGTATGACGCAAAATATAGAAATTTTAAACGGTATTATACTGCAAATGGAGAATAATAATGTGTCAGTGAATGACACGGTGGACCAATTCAGTGACTTTATTTTGTCGAAAGCCGAAAAGTTTTTTCAAAAGAAAGTGTATATATCCGAGAGTTGTATATTTACTGAAACTGGACATAATAAGAGTAAATTGTGGTATAACAATGAATGCCGTGAAAAGAAAACATTGTATCAAAATGCATTACATCAATTTATATGTGATAGATCCACGGAAAATAGAACGATTTTATTGCAACGGAAAAAAGACTATAAGTACTGTTTACGGAAAGCAAAGCATTCTTTTAACATCAAAAGGTGTTCCGAAATGAACAGACTGCGAAGCAGTAAACCAAAGGAGTTCTGGAAACTATTTAAAAGCAAAGTTCAGTCAAAAAGCAACGAAATTCCGCTTGAACAATTCCAGGAATATTTTAAGTCCTTATCATTATCAAATGGATTCGAAAATACAGAAACTCAAGATTTTATCAGTAGTTTTGACGAAAACACGTTATTAGGTACAAATACTGTCACATTTGAAGAGTTAGACTATCCTATAACTAAAGAAGAAATACTAGCTTCGGCTAAACGAGTTAACCGAAATAAAGCGCCCGGGATTGACAATTTATTGTCTGAATATTTTGTAGAAACCCTCGACATAATATTACCGCATGTGGAAAAATTATTCAACAAAATATTACAAACGGGTACGATTCCTGAACAATGGGCGAAAGGTATTATTGTGCCAATTTTTAAGAAAGGTCAGACAAATGATCCGAATAATTATAGAGGAATAACCCTTGTAAGCTGTTTCGCAAAATTGTTCATGTCTATTATAAATAATAGGCTTAAACTATGGTCTGACGAAAATGAAAAAATCTCGGATTCACAGTTCGGTTTTAGGTCAAACTTTAGTACCACAGACGCAATATTTGTTTTAAACGAAGTCATCCAACATCACCTAAGGAACAAAATGAGACTATATTGCCTGTTTCTAGATTTGAAGAAAGCATACGATTTTATTGACCGTTCATCACTATACCTGAAACTCATTAAAAATGGTGTAGACGGGAAACTGTTTCAAATTATACGTTCGCTATACGCAAATGTTAAATGTTGTGTAAGGCAGTTTAATGATTTGTCAGACTTTTTCACGAATGACATCGGTCTATTTCAAGGAGAAATATGTTCACCGTTTTTGTTTTCCTTGTACATTAATGATCTTGAAACGGAGCTACAATCTAACTTAAATGCGGGAATAAATCTTGATCAATTATCATTATATCTAATCCTATTTGCAGACGACGCCGTTATTCTATCGGACAGTATTGAAGGTTTACAATCATCAATAAATAGCTTACAGAGTTACTGCGAAAAGTGGAACTTAACTGTAAATATCCAAAAAACTAAAATTATGGTCTTCAGAAAAGGAGGCATTATAGCTGCAAATGAAAGATGGCATTACGGCAATGAAGAAATAGAGATAGTGAATAGTTTCAACTATTTAGGTCTAGTGTTTACATCCGGTGGTTCCTTTAGAACAGCAACAATGACGCTAGCGGCAAAAGGACTCAAAGCGGTCGGGTCGTTATTCTCATTGGTAAAAAATATGCAAGTACCAACAAACATCATGTTTAATTTATTTGACTCTTTTGTGAGCTCAATTCTGACATATTCTGGTGAAATATGGGGCCTGTCAAGTGCGGAGTGCATAGAACGGGTGCATAGAAAATTTATTAAATGGACACTAGGTGTAAAAATGTCTACTAGTAATGTGCGGGTTTATGGTGAGTCTGGCCGTTTCCCTTTGATAATCGATCGAAAAGTAAAAGCAGTTAAATATTTTATAAAACTGAGCAGTAGAAAAAGTAATTGTATTTTAAATACTTTGCTTGATAGACTGTTAAATTTGACTGAAAATGCTATTGACAATTGGTTATTAAAAGTGAGAGATTTATTAAATGCAATTGGTTTTGGTGAAATATGGGTTTTCCCAGCATCTGTTTGTATAGAAAGATTTACGCCTATTCTGAAACAGAGACTAAGAGACTTTTACATAGCAGAATGGTATATAGATATTAACACGTGTCCTTCGTTATATTTATACAAGGAAATCAAACAAACTTTTGAAATTCCCTCATATCTCATAATATTGAATAACTTGAAATACAGACGAGCAATTGCAAAGATACGTATGGGATCGCATGATTTAATGATAGAAAAGGCAAGACACTTTGAAAATGCAGTGCCGAGAGATCAGCGAAAGTGTATGCTATGTGACATGAATGACATTGAAGACGAATTCCACTTCGTTTTAACATGTAAATTATATAGAGACATCAGAAAGAAGTATATAAGTGACTATTATTGTAATCATGCAAGTGTTTACAAGTTTATTGAACTTTTAAATTCGACCAATAAAAATGTACTTATCAAGCTAGCATTATATATTCTTAAGGCTTTTAGAATCAGACAATCATTTTTTAGAGAGACCAATTAGTGTTCGAACAGTGAATGTGTACTTTTCAACATAATAGTGTCATAAAAGATGACGTATTTACCAAGCTTTCTGTTTTTGTAAAAAATATGTCAATTCTCGCTGTTTATTATTGTGTGTAGCCGTTGTGTTTTGTGTTTTGTGTATAATGTATGTGTTTTTCTATTTCTGTAAATATGATTATAATTATTACGCATGCTACAAATACGTGTCATATTGTATGTAAATGTCGATGAGCTGTTAATGTGCTTAAGACTAATAAAATATATGTTATGTTATGTTATATTAATATACATGTATTAACCAACTTTAATACGATAATTAACTGAACATTTTTCAATCATGTTAAACGGAATCTTTCTTTTATTTTCGTTCTTATCAGACAAAAAAATAATATGAATACATCTTCTTTAATTATTTAATTAGTTTAAAAAATATTTTATTTATAGAACATAACATTTTCATGATAATTTTCATGATAAATTGTACGGATACAGTAGGAAGCTTGAAAACTCTCTCCGAATTTTTTCTTTAATTATTTGTAGACATTCACGAAAAAAAGGGCATTAGAACTGATACAGATCAAAGAGGAATAACAATTCGTGGAATTAATTGAGAAATGAAATGATTGTATTTCAAAAAAGAAAGATATTCTAATTACCAAATACGTTGAACGACCAGATATTTGGTTGTATTTTCCTGGCTTGATGTACGTTCTCGCCATCTTTAACCTCGAGTCTCGTGACGTCATTGTGCTCGGTAGTTACATCATCAAACAAGATGATAAATACTTCAGACTGGGGCTGGTAATATATTCAAAACAAGAATGCTTTTACAATGAATCGGACATTTTTCTTTTCTTTTTTTTTTTAGATAAAATATTTTTAACTAAGAAATTGTTAGAAAAATCATTATCAAATATTATAGCGCACTACACCAAAGATTGTCTTTTAGTTTAATACTTGATATAATTTAAAAAAAAAAAAACGTTTAAAGTTTTACTTTCTCGGTTTAAAGCCTGAAAACGGGATAAATTTTATTTAGGAGTCTGAATTAGGAAAAAACAACTTTATCCAAGCTTAAACCAGAAAGTAAAACTTTAAACATTTTTTTTAAATATAACAAATACTAAAGCCAATCTTTGGTGCGCTACATTATTTTTTGATTTTCTAATGATTTCTTAGAATAAAGTCATGTCACCTTCGAGTCGATGGAATGTTTTAAAAAAAAATAGTCCGATTGACGCGATGACGTAGTATTCTACCATTGAATGAATAAAGACTACAGTTTTTTTTTCGGCTGCCTTCCCATGCACAATGATTAAAGGGACTCCACTGAGGTTTTTGACATGATGGGACTGATAATATTTTTTTTCCAGATAAATGTACCATTTGATGTAGGTGTAGACCTAGAATCTTTGTGCAAACTTTTAGATCATTCGCGCACTTCGTTTTTCCATAATAATTATTTAAATTGTAAAGAAATGACCCAATATGAAAATCGTTAAAACGCTTTTCACTCAAATTAGGCTAAGAAAAGCATAAAACTACGATTTTCGATTTATTTTAAGGTATATTTCTTAACTATCTTTGCATATATTTCGCCCCAGGTCATTTATGTAAGAAATTCTAATGTTATGTTTTTAGGCTTTTAAACCTCAGTGGAGTCCCTTTAAAGACTATACAAGCATGTTGACTACAAGCATATTTATGTACAATAACATGCGCAATGATATGATGCCTTCAACACTCAACACACAAACTACTCAGTATACATTTGATCAAAGTACTTGTTTATAAACTATGATATATAAGACCACAGGTGGCAGTATCAGTGTCTGGACACCCCACCCCATCTGCCCCTGGACCCCTACTAAAACCCTGCAAAAAAAAAATTATTCAACACTCTCAGGCTGAGTGTTGAATTTTTTTTCAGGGTTGTAGTAGGGGTCTAGGGGCAGATGGGGTGGGGTGTCCAAACACTGATACTGCCACCTGTGATATAAGACTGGGGAAGTCAGAAAAATTTTCAATCATTATTTTCAAGTTAATAAGCTAGGACTTACTTCGGACTGAAAGCAGTTCTATCACGTGGTTTTAGATGTAAACACAACCAAAGGGTGTAATCTTTGATTATGTATAACAGAGGTATTTCTTTGAAAAAAGTCTATTTCCTTAAAATTACGAAAAAAATGTGTTTGACAATCATAATCAATTTAAAAATGCCCATTGATGTACAATATAAATAAAACCGAATTCATGTCAACAGGTAGATATTTTGTTTTCTTTGGGTTTCTACAACTCTGATATATATATATATATATATATATATATATATATATATATATATATATATATATATATATATATATATATATATATATATATATATATATATATAATATATATATATAATGCACTGTTTATTTTTATATCTATAAATATCTTGAATATATTTAATTTAGGTGCCCTTTTATATTTATTTTTCTTTAAAATATACACGTGCAGTCTATAGCCGAGCAAGCCAAAGCCGCACGCTTTGAGGGTCCGGCCTTTGACTTCCCCATTTAGGTGCTACCTATGACGCAAAGCTTTTTGATTTAAACACAAGAATAACATTTTGCAATATACAAAACATATCTCTCCAATATACAATAAGTAAATGCATGTATTTAGGTCTATACGAACGAATTGGTGGTGTTCAACCCTATCAGTGTCAGAAATGTGTGGAATGTATATATGATATTTTTAATACATACAAAAATGCGGAACAGACAGTGTAAGTTTATAACAATAAAACTATAATTTTAACTTCCTGGATGTAATCTGTAAATTGTAAACAATTAAAAATTGAGATATCTACTTACTTCAGACAGTGTTGAAATCGTGTCTGGTTTGATAAGATATCTGCTTGCACACGGCACTTCCCTATTCTCGTTTTCCGCCACACGATACTTTATTCTCGCTTCCGCGTTAAACCAGTCTTCACCGGAAGCTTCAAACAATCCTACCGACTCCCAGTTGTTCACCATCTTTGAAAACATGTCAACAGCCGCTTTCTTTATAGGTTCAGCGCATGATATAAGCACTATGGTGTCCTTTGGTTTTGAAAACAGATAACCAACATCCTTTTTCGGTTGCCTTTCAATGTCTTGCCACAGTAAAGCAGTAAGAAAAATAACTCTGACAGTGTTATCGTTCAGTGCTGATCCTAATTCCAGGAATCCATCCAGGGTCGTTGTACGAATATGAGCCACATTAGATTGTAACGATCCCCTCAGTTTATTCGCTAATATTTTAGCATCATCCGGAACTATCATAAACACCGACATTTCTACAGCTAAAAAATATAAAATGATACAATACGTATGTGTTTTAATATACAATACATATGTGTTTTGATACGGTGGTATTTCAAGACAATGTGTCATATAAAGATTCGAACAGTGTTATCATAATTGAATAATATAGTCGTAATTGCAAGCCGTTGTGATCATTCATTTTCCCTATTTGATAGCATAAGGCCTTCGGTTAAATTAGGTGATGAACTGCATTTGAAAAAAATATATTATTTATGTTTCATATTACCCTTAGAGAAATTTGTATTATTATTATTATTATCATCATTATTATTATTATTATTATTATCATTATTATTATCATTATCATTATTATTATTATTATTATTATTATTATTATTATTATTTCATATTTATTTTTGAAGTAGTTCAGACAGAAAATAAGCTGTATCAGAATCCACTTCCGGTGTGCAGCGTTACGGTGTCGTCTGCTAAAATATTATGTCAATTTTGACTATTTTTACTCCTGTTCTGACGGGCATCTAAAGTAATGCAGAACTTTTGGGTTCTCTCTTACTTACTATGTTTTAAATAAAAATCCCTGATAGAGATTCGAACCAGAAGCGGAGATGGTGTGTAATCCGACTTTGAATCACCTGTTAAATCGTGTACATGTAATTAACGAAAATTATTGTTGTAGATAACAATATTGAATGATTTTGTTCTTTTAATTCGCTTTACGGTGCATTAGTTCAGCTGGGAAAAAATGTGAAAATTATACAAATATACGAAATTCCTACCTGAAGACTGACGTCAAACAAAATTATAAACTAATACTGTCCAAGTCCCATTTTAATTATGTGATGATATGACAATGTAAAGGTTTTTAACAATGACATAATAAAAAAAAAACCAGCAACAACCAACAACTTGCATTAACCAATAGAAATGAACCTTGCGTCAGTACCAAATAATCATAAAAAGTGCATAGCTGTAACCATACACCAAGATACCGGTAACATGTCCCAAATAAATGAGAGTAAACATGTATGATATTTGATCTTATTTTGCGCATTAGAAATAAACGTGAGGTTCAAATATATGTTCTACTAATCCCACATGATTTCTGAATCTGCAGTCATTAAACTAAAAGTTCGATATCCAAATTTGCCAAGGAGGAAAAGACATGTGTGTAACAAAAACTAAAAATGTAATAAATACATTAAATTAAGATTTAATAAACTATGGTTGCTGATTTGGTACATTGCGCGTTGCAATGTCGATAGCGACAACACAACCTATATCGTTATCGCCTTTTCGTCTGATTGCTAGTCGCGAAGCCGCGATGTCGTCTTGTTATCCTGTCTCTAGCGAAGCAAGCCAAACGGCGCATTGTCGTGCGGCGCGTTGTTGCGATGTCGCCCTGTCGCTTAGCTTATAAGCCAATCCTTCGATTTGAACCGAGCGAGAATGTGACTTCGCGATAACACGCCGCACGACAACGCGCCGTTTGGCGTATATCGTTAGCGGCAGGACGACAAGACGAAAGTCCGACGACGTTGTTCTGTTGTTGCTAGCGCCAACACGGCGCACAAAAGCGTTCCAAATCAGCCACCATAATAAACACAATCACTATCATTGAATAGATACTCAGAAGTTTATGTCCGCTCTAAAAGACAATTCAACGGTACAATGGTATTTTGTTGTACTTGGGATATGATTGGGTTTTCAAAATAAGATCTTGCGATGGAATGCGCAGACCGAAGAGACGGAGATTTAGTCTCGTATTTTAACTATGCTGCACAAAACACCAACCTTTTACGCTTAAAACACCTATCATATTTCTCAATAGATTTTTAAGTTAAACCTGTACAGAATATTCGAGCAGCAGTACAATGTCATCTATGAAATAGATTATCTGAGCATACTTACGCAACTATCTACCTCGTGGCAGCAAAATGTATGTGATACTTTAAAATTGAAAGTTTACGTACTTTCATTGTATCCCATTTTGTCATTTTTGTCTTTTTTGGTATATCACTCTTTTTAATAGTATCTGTGTCACATGTGCGCATTTAGATAGCTAAACATGTGTTTGAGTTATCCGAAACAAAGGAAACTGAGCGGAACGCTATCAATTTTTGGGGAAATTATTGTATAACAGGAAGTATAAGAACTCGACATATATATATAAACGGAATTTAGCCTTCCTTGATTACCTCACATCTGTGACGAAGTACTTATTTTCTTGACCCTTACCCTACATTATTACGTAATAAATTAATGACTTGCCTTTAATATTTTAAAAGAAATTTTACGGCATTTCCATCAAAGTCTTCATAACTTTTCCATAAGGAAATTGTTGAATAATCAAGCCAATGTTTAATTTTTTATCATTAATCATTACAGTCATGTGAATAAAAATTATTAAATGTCGAAGTAATAATAAAAAAAGCATACTTTAAGATATGCGTAGTTAGCCGATTTAAAAAGTAATATATGTGGAAAAAAAACCCACATAAAACACAATAAACCATACCAGCTGGTGTCGTTGTATTATATTTCATAAGGTCTGGATGCGCAACTAATTTCTTTATTTAAAGTACGCAAGTACTTATATAAGGAACAATAAAAAAATTCAAAAACTGTTAAATGTATTAAAGAGAAACCCGAAGAATTTCATTTGTGATAAGATGTATTAGTAAAAATTATAATCCTAAAATTAAGACAATTTATTTCGTGGGTCAATATATTTATATACTAATAAAGTCAAGGGCCGACCGAAGTTTCTTATTATCTTTAGTAAAGATTCTTTACCCATATGGTTATGTTTGAAGCCTTAAGGAGACATTTAAGATCATACAACGACTTTCTAGCTCTACTGGAAGTGTGCTCCTCTGTCCATTATTTCAGACAAGATTCTGCTTATCAATTAGTACCATTGAACTTCTGAAAACTAGCAAGATAGCTTCCTCACATGACAGAATTTATAGACCCTATCGGGTTTCAAACCCCGTGGCGGTACCGGTCATGTTACCTAAGGTCACTCTGTGCAGACTATCAGCATATGATACACACCTAGCTGCACCTGTTAACAAAAATCATGAATAACTAAGTATACGTGTTTAACTAGGCCAAGGTATTTATGTATAAAATATCTGGATACGGACCAGGAATTTAATGTCTTTAGTCTTTACCCAGAAGCATTAAAGAAAAAACAAGTCCGGCCAATTTTTTTCTCCGCTTTAAGGCACATTATGCCTCTGAAATCAATAATTTTATAATTCTTAAGAAAAGAGAAATATACGTTTAATAATGAATTTCGAGGGCTAAATGGGACTTTTAAATTTTCCAAGGTATTGCATGTCGATGTATTTAATTTTCATTGTATAAATGTACAAATTTGGCTATATTTTCTTAGCTTAAATGCTTATATCAGTACACTGTAATTAATAAACATTTCATGTAAGAATTTAAGCCAAGATCAAATATACATGTAATTCTGACTTCTTTAGCTTTCATAATTAAAACGTTTTCTTAAGAATTAAAGAGAAAGTCAAATTTGTACATTTAAACATGTTGTTTAAACATATGTGTGAGTTACGGCGCACAGGGATGATTGCCTTTGGAGGCAGTACACAGTTTCGACCGTTTAGTTTCGAATTGGCTATGGTCAAATTTACAGATAAGAGACAGTTTTGAAATTGAAGTGGCTATTTGAGGTTCTAAATATTTATAGTTACTATATTTCAAGTTTCATTGACTAGTATTGTGTTTAAGTTATTTATTAAAATGGAATTTAGTGGCGTTGACACTTGTATTTTGAGAGAGTACCTGTCGGATGCGAAAGGTCAGACACTCATATTGATATTCCCATAAACTTACAGTATAAGAAATGGTCCCTAATCCTACCTTAAAAATGAGTTTTCATGCTAAAGAGGTATTTTTTCTAGCAGAATAAAATGCCTGACACATACAAATGTTCCTGTTATATAGGGGTAGCCAACCAAATTATTTGCAAAATGACTTCAAAGAGGATTACCCCCATTTCATTTACAACTACCTAATTATTTAATACTGTTAATTCCTGGGTACCCCTTTTCAGATTTTTATCTTCAAATTTAGCAGGTGTCAAGTGCTGTGTGGCAGCTGTAAAACGTTTCCCCGTTCTTTCATCACGGAATTGCTTTATTCATTCATTCATTCATTTATTTATTTATTTATTTATTTATTTATTTATTTTTCTTTTTTTTCTATTTTTTTTTTTGTTTATCTATATATGTATTTATTTATTTATTTGTCTTTTGGATGGACAGTACACATGTATTTGATTTAAGAAGATCTATAAGAAAATATGATATTTTGAAGATTGAATTCTTTTCAAATTTGGTATATTTACCGCAAACTAGTGTATTTCGGTAGTCCGCCAAACACACCAATTCTTCCGGTCTCTCCCGTTCTATTGTTCGGGATTTACTAAAGACCGGCGAATAGTATCACACATTTATTGTCCGGTTTCTCCCGTTATTAGTCCCCTACCGGTTTACCGGAGGGGACTTAAGGTTTACCCTCCGTCCGTCTGTCTGTCCGTCCGTCAGTCCGTCCGTCCGTCCACAAAACTGGATCCCGCGATAACGCAAAAAGTACTGAAAATATTTTTATGAAACTTGATATATGGATAGATGGCAGTATGGAGATTATGCACGTCTTTTTCTTTTTCTTCCTATGTTGAAAATTCTGGTTGCTATGGCAACAAATAGACTGAAAATATGGCAAATTTTACACATAACCAAGATCCCGCGATAACGCAAAAAGTACAGAAATTTTTTTATGAAACTTGATATATGGATAGATGGCAGTATGGAGATTATGCACGTCTTTTTCTCTTTTTTCCTATGCTAAAAATTCTGGTTGCTATGGCAACAAATAGACTGAAAATATGGCAAATTTTACACATAACCTGGATCCAGTGATAACGCAAAAAGTACTGAAAATACTTTTATGAAACTTGACATATGGGTAGAGGGCAGTCTGGAAATTATGCACATCCTTTTGTTATCTTCCTTTGTTGAAAATTCTGGTTGCTATGGCAACAAATAGACTGAATTTCAAGATTTCTGATTTTAGTTTTTAAGTTTTTTTCACTATAAGTTCTTTATTTCGTAAGGTATTTTCTTCAAACTTTAAATATAAGTTGCTAGTCATCAACCACATCATATGTGACAAGGTTTACAACTCTAGCACAAAATGTATCAGAATTACCTCCCTTGAACTTAAAATTTTCATGAAAAAAAATATTTTTTTTTTAATAACTTCTTTTTTTCTGAATGTATCTACTTCTAACTTCATACATATGTTTCTTCTTATCACTCAACATTTGTGAGAAAGGTCAATACTCTAGCAAGAATTTTTCCAGAATTATGCCCCTTTTGAACTTTTTTTCGAGAAATTGGTAATTTTTACTCCAAATTCTTCAATCATTATAGGATTTTCTTCAGCTCCTTCAGTGTCCTTTAGTCCGTCTGTCTGTTTGTACATAAAAACTGTTTCCTGTGATCACTTTTTAAGAACTTTTTCAACAAATTTACTTAAAAAAGAAACATAAGTGAATGGCCAATGGCCCTTCAGAATGTTGCTGGGGTTCTAACCGGTAGGGGACTTATGGATTGCTTGCAATACTATGATAATTGCTTGTTTAAGTAGATATTGTATTTATTTGATATCGTAACAAATATTCTGTTTCCAAAAATGAATGTTTGCCACTTATTTTGGTTACAATAATTAATTATTATTATTATACATAAACATACAATTCTAAAAAAAAAAAAATAAAAACAAACAAACGAACAAAAAATTAACAGCATGTTTCATTTTATTTATATGAGATAAAAAGAATAAATATGTATAATAATTGAATAAACAGATACATTTTATGGTATTAATATGATATCAACTTTGATACATTTAATTTAATTCGTTATTCGTGTTAAGTAAAGATTCTGAGTAATTATTCTTAGTCACAAATTAGATTTTATGAATTATTCAATTGATTGATAATTTAAAAAATAATAAAGTAAAATACACATGTAAATGGTTTAAGAATAATCAATATATTATATTGAAAGATAATTTACTTTTTCCGGTTAATTTGTTACTTATAATCGTCAATATGACAATTGATTTTTTTTAAACTTACAATTTTAATTTAAAAAAGTAGCACACGTAATAACTCAGTATTAAAATAACACATAAAACACAAAAAAGAAAACATTATTCATAAAAGATGTAGAAAAAAAATTAACATACATGATTATTATTACAATTATTGTATAATAAAACAATTATGCTCAACATGATCAACATGATAATATAATCAGTGTCATATGAACAGATATTTTAAAAGGGGGTCTTCGCTAATAGCGATTATATAATAAGGGACAATACACAAGTGTGGTGTTGATCATGCGTTGCATAAATGGATTATAAATGATTGTATATATCCGTTGCAATTAATAATCTCGATATATTATATATTTTTGTATATTTTTAGAAAGCAGAAATGCTTTTTGTAAGGTGAAAAGGATAAGTAAATATAAATATAATAATTCAGAAAAATTTAGAATTAATGAAATGAGCAGAAAAAACCCAAGAAATTTTTGGAAGTTCATAAATAAATACAAGAAAAATAAATCATCAGAAAATAACTTATCTGCAGATAATTTTTTGCGTCATTTTTCAAACCTATCTTGTAATTCTGAAAGTGAGTCCGAGCATATCACTGATAATGGTTCAAGTATTAATATACATGAACTTGATAAACCCTTTGATGAAAATGAAATTCTGAAAACTATTTCAAGTTTGACAAGAAATAAGAGCAGTGGCATAGATAATGTGGTACCAGATTTTTTCATCGATGCTAAGCATTTTATTTCACCCTTTCTTGTTAAATTGTTTAATAAGATTTTTGAAAGTGGAATTTATCCTGAATCTTGGACTAAAGGCACCATAGTTCCAATATATAAGAAAGGAGATCCTACGAACCCCAGTAATTATAGGGGAATTACCTTGATAAACTCGATGGCTAAATTGTTTTCACTATGTTTGAGAAATAGACTGAATAAATGGTGTGAAAATGAAAATGTTTTTAAATGATATACAATTTGGTTTTAGAGATAAGCGTAGTACTGTAGATTGTGTTTTTTATTCTTCATAGTATTATTCAAAAGGTTTTTTGTAACAAAAATAAACTTTACTGTGCTTTTATAGATTACGAAGAAATGTTTTTGACACTATTACCCGTGATTCATTGTGGACGAAGTTAGTAGAAATTGGTGTAAGTTGTAAATTTGTAAATATTGTTAAATCACTATATGAGAGAGTCACGTCATGTGTTAAAATATCATCTACATCTAAATTGTCTGATTTTTTTGAAATGTCACTGGGTTTAAAGCAAGGGGAACCACTCTCACCGTTGCTTTTTATACTGTTTGTTAATGATGTTAGTGATGCACTAGATTTTAATAATTTGTCAGATAGTGACTTACAGCAACTTTCAGTATATCTTTTGCTTTTTGCCGATGATATAGCGGTTTTTACAACGGACAAACACAGTTTACAATCCCAGTTAGATAATATATACATGTATTCAGTCAGATGGAAATTAAAAATTAATGTGAGTAAGACAAAAATATGTGTATTTGAAAAAAGAAAACAAAGACATGATTTTGAATGGTTTATTAATAATGAAAAAATTGAAGAAGTTGACAGTTTTTGTTATTTAGGCATTAAACTTGTTAAAACAGGAAATCTTCGTTTTGCTGTTAAGGCCCTATGTGACCAGGCGCTTAAAGCCATGAATAGTTTATTATCTCTTTTTAAAAAGATTAGCATTGATTTAAAGACCAAACTAGTATTATTTGATAGACTTATTGTTCCCATTTTATTGTATGGTTCAGAACTTTGGGGAATATACAATTATAAAGAGATTGACAAGTTACATATTAGGTTTTTGTAAAATTATCCTGGGTGTTAGAAAACAAACTACAAATGCTGCTGTACTAGGAGAACTCGGGAGATTCCCGTTATCTATTATAAGTATTGAACGTTCCTTTAAATATTGGATTAAACTTAAGAACAATAATAATAATTCTGTTTTGTGTGACATTTTTTATACAACAATGTACACTATCACAATTAAATGTTAATAATTGGGTGTTTAGAATTAAAAAACTCTTGACAATCTAGGTCTTTCACATATATTTGATATATTTAATCCTAATTTGAATTATTTTTTTCTATTATACAAAGACGATTGCGTGACCAAGTATATTCAAGAATGGAGTTCAAGTTTAAAATACCTCGCGCAAATTAGAATATTATGCAAAATTTAAAAATGTGTTAGAATTTGAACCTTATCTTAATAATATTGTCAACGATATTTCTAGAATCCAGTTAACTAGATTCCGTTTGTCTTCGCATAATCTTGCAATTGAAACTGGGAGATTTAATAATATAGAGAGAAATGAAAGATTGTGTTTATTTTGTAATCAGAAACAGATTGAATCTGAATATCATTTTTTATTGATTTGTCCAAAATATAATAATATCAGAAAAGATTTACTTCCAAAATATTATACATCTTGGCCTTCGCTTAATAAATTTGTTGCATTAATGAATAATAATAATAAAACTATTCAAGTAAAATTAGCAACTTATATTAAAGAGGCGTTTAAAGTAAGAACATTGGCTATTGAGCTAAATGAATTTTTACAGACAAACAGTGCTTAATTGTAAATTTATTTTCATTGTATTGTAATGTTTATATGTTATGTGTTTGATTAATCATATGCATTTGAATTATTATTGTACATTTATATGTTATTTTGTCTTGGCCATATTCTATAATTATTTACTTGTAAATGGCCAAAGGCATATTTATGCCAATTGCTAAATAAAGATTGATTGATTGATTGATTGATTGACATTACATTTATGACCATAAAAATAACAATTATGATATAACATTAATATTATACATTGTTTTTATTATTTCCAAAATGTAAAAAAAAAAATCGCCACGTACGTATTGACATACAAATGGTAATTTATTATTCATATAACGGAATAGATAATTTCAAAACAATACAATGCATTACAACGACCCCCCCCCCCCCAAAAAAAAAAATAAATAAATAAATAAATTAATTACATGTAATTAATAAAAAATATCACAATACATACACATTTCAAATTATGTATTTACGCAGGGGCACCATTCTATTTGAGAGACCCTGATTTACATAAAAATGTTAAAAATCATAATAATTGAAAATGGTAGGGTGATTAAGCACTATTATTATAGAATACAATTTAATATCATGTAAGTTTTTTATTAAGTACTATTCATTTACATTTATATCTTTGATCTGGGACATATCTTATGTCCCAGCTTTGATTAGAATAATTAATTAAAAATAACCAAAAATTACGTAAAAACAATTAATTGGAAACAAAATACATTATATACGAAAAATTATTTATCTTATATTAACAGCCTTTTTCATTTAGAAAGATCGGCCCATTTTTACAAATTATTATTATACTATTCGCCGGTCCCTAGTAAATACCGGTCAACATAGACCGGGTGAGACTGGAAACCGGAAGCGACCGGACCGGAGAATAGTATATCCTTGATAATTGCCGAAGAGTTCCGATTGCTGGGTTTTTCCAACAGTCCAAAGTTTACAAAACGAGACATAATTTGTTTGTTTCTCGCGGTTTAAGACAGCATTGTATTATTTTCATAAATATTTGTATTTCATAAAACGTATAAATCGTTTCATCTACCAAACCGTTCATGAAAGATGTGACAGCGCCGTAAATAGAATGAGCCTACTGTATAGGCTGTAAGAAGGAACAGGGAAAGAAACAAACAGTCTAAAACACTGTAAAACTAAAAGAGACAAACACCATGGGCTTACTGGAAACGATTCGCGGGGAATAGTAAGTAACAGACTTGCTGTATATTATTTGAACGAAAGTCAAGTTGTATAATCTAGATTTTCTGTGTATTTTAAGTACGATGATTCGCCCTACTTATGATTCGTGTAATGAAAGATTCGCCCCCATTTATCACGATTTACCAAAATTTATAGTTAAATCTTTATTAATTATGTTATACTTTACAATAATGAATTATTTTATTTAAAACATTCATCTAATAGAAAGGAGGATTATTGTCTCATTTTATTTCAGTATATTTAGTATTTTCTCACTAACCAGATAAAAATCCTTAAATGTTACTAAAAAATAGCGGTGTTGGAAAATCTTATCTCACATGGGCTTATCTCACACTCGACGTGCAGCACTTCTAAATAATAAGCGATTCACTCCTATTTTAACAAAAATGAAACGTCAAAAGGTCAAAATGTATTAAAAATTTGTGAGCTAACCTATTAAATTGTCTACGGAATCAAAATAGATTGATATTAACTTTCACACTGCAATGAGTCCTACTCTACCTAGATCCGCCCTTCTCAATAACGATCTGTTACTAAAAATAGCACACTTTAAAATATCGAAACATTCTTCGTAAAATCGGATATTATGACACTTTGCCTGAAAACATTCATGTTTTTTGTTATGATAACGATGCTTCTAGATGACAAATGTCATTTTTTATATATTTTAATTGAATATTCGGCCAAAATAATCGAAAAAGTAGAAAAATCTTTGCAAACGGTAAACGCTTTTGTGTCAACCATTGGGGTATGGACTCAAATTCCTTATCTAAACACTTATACTATGGCACTTTCCGATTTTAATATTGATGTGTTTTATCATGATTACCTTGCTTTTTGATGAGGGATCTCATATGAATTTATTTTCATTAAATTTTTCACACATAAACATGGTCAGTAGAATTTTTTGCGGACGTACTTCATAGAAAGTCAGGCGCCTAAGCCCCGTCCCCTTTTCAAAACTAGGTACGCGCATAGCAAGTAGATTCACTGATGTTTGTGTGTCCAGGTGAGTGAGAAAAATAATCAACCATTGGGTTAGATAGAGGATAGGGAAATCCCAACCCTCAGGCAATCGGTTCCATCGGGAACTCGCCAAGGCTCGTTCCCGATGGAACCGATCACCCTCGGGTTGGGATTTCCCTATCCTCTATCAAACCCAATGATAGATTCTATTAATCTATAAACAATGAAAATTTTTACAACTGATTTACAAATATTTGATATAAAAAGTACTATTTGTAGTTATTTTGTACCTTTATTCTAACCCCCTTTGTGCTTATACATGATAAATATAACAATTAAAACTAACAATGAATTATGAGAATAGTCATTTGGTACAATAACTAAGATGTTCCAGAAGGTATGACCTTGTCCTTCCTATTGGTCATTATAAGGAACTTTAAATTGACAACAAATATCAGTTATACCTTAAAGGACACTTGTATGCAAAATTATTAAGATTGTTTACTAGGTATGGACACTTTTTTTTAGGAACCCAAACTTTTATAATATAAGTGAGGAAACTCTAAATAATGTGTTTACTTATATTATCCTTATGAAAACTGTTTTTTCTATTGATTATTGTTAAGAAACAAATAATACAGATTCAGCTATCAAATTACAAAAGCAAACTGATTGTTTCTGCTGAAATATTTAAAATTAACAAACAAGTCACACAAACACAAACATTCAGTAGTGATTTATTGCAGACATTTGCCTTCATCATTTTCAATCAAATATTTGATTTTGAAATATGTATACAAATGAAACCATACTTAAGCTATTTTAAACACTTGCTTGACAGTTTTCTTATTTTGAAAGCCATATTCAACCTATCCCTAAAATTTACCAAAATGAGGATGTGTTTTTTTAAAGAGTGACACAAGTTTTTTGAAGATTATATTGATAGATTCTGTCAAATATTGAATACTTGAACAGTTCAACTGTGTAGTTTTTAGCTCACCTGAGCACAGAGTGACTTTTATAGCAATAACTGACTGTCCAAAACAACAAGTGACTTCTACAGTAACCATTGACTTACCTAAGTAACCAATAACTTTCTAAGAAACCAGTTGCTTCCCATGACAACCAGTGGCTTCCGTAGTAACTATTTACTTTTCATATCAACCAGTTTTTTCCATAGCAACCATGACTTTTCATAGCATATTGTGACTTTATTTAGCAACCAGTGATATCCATACCATATATCCCCCCTCTCCATAGCCCCTTAGGAAAAGGAAAGGCATTTAACTTGCAGTTATTTAGCATTGTTTTTCTGACCAGTTTTAACCATTTATTAAGCAGTTTTCCTTGACAAATGTGATTATGTAGAAAGCATTTAAAATGCAGTTAAAATGCATTTAAAATGCAGTTATTTAGCATTGAAAAAGCATTGAAATCAGCCGAAATATGTAAATGAGATGACATCATAAAACTGCCTCCAAATATGGAGATAGCATTTCCAACCATTTATATGACCTCATAAATAACTGCCAAAAAATTGTGTTTGCATTTTCAACCATTTATATGACATCATTAAAAAACTTTCAAAAAACTACTGAAGCCTTTATATGACCTCATAAATAACTGCAAAAAAACTTTCAAAAAACTGTTGCATTTATTTGAGCTAATATAATACTGTTAACAACTGTTCACATCTGAAAATAAATGTACATGTACATGGAATTTCTATTACATTGACACATATGTATGTACATAGATTTCTTACAAATCACCAAATCCCCTAACTTTTCATGAACTCAAAAGCATTGCCCTTTTAGTTTCATTAGGCAACCAGTTTGATTTAGATTACTGTGTGGACTTAAAGTTTTGGACACTTTTTAATGTATTTAACATTAGAAATTGCTAAGACGAACAACAGACATATTGAACTGTCAAAAATCTCACAATAAGCCTCTGGATCTTTTGAACTTTGAGATTAAAGGCCATATATGCGTTTGTAATGAGCAAAAATGTTAAGTACAAAAATCTTATCCAATGACATTGTTATGAACAAAAACGAAAAAGAAATCATAGTATTTCTCTTCTAAAATGGTCAAAATGTTGAAAAACACCACATAATTCTTGTAACGCCTACAAGACGTTACACCAAATATAGTGCTTACATTTTAAAAGCATTAAAAGATTGGATAACACCCTTGCAGAAATTACTGGTAATTTACCAGGATTTTACTAGGATTTTAGTGGGAAATCCCAGGAATATTTACAGGGATAATTCCTAGGAAATGCAAGGAAATCTGAGGAATTTCCAGTTACTGGCTGGCGGTAATTGGAACGACTGAAAACTACTGGTAATAACTAGAAAAAAAATTTGAAACCAGGAATGCCTTAGATCGACTTGTACTGGAAAATCCTAATTACTGAGAATGACCTGCCCACGGTATTTGGAACATTTTTCTAGTCAATCCCAGGCATTTCAAGGCATTTCAAAGACCTATGATAATACCAGTAACTCCTGGTATTTTTACAATCTTAGGAATGACTGAGAATGACCTGCCCACGGTATTTGGAACATTTTTTCTAGTAATTCCTTGGCATTTCAAAGAACTTGGATATCCCAGACGTTCCTGGTATTTCCATGATCTAAGGAATGGCTGGAATAGCCTAGGATTGCATTGTACTGAAATTTCTAGCAACTGGGTATGACTGGACCACAGCTGAATTACTGTTACTAGGGCCCCCAAAGGATCATTACGATTAAAATCAAATAATCAGTTTTGTAGAAGATATCATTACAAGAAATTGCTGACAATACAAGATGCCATTGGACACAGGGCAATCACATTACTTCACATAAGCACATTGTACTGATGTGAACTAAAATGTGCACTTTTAAATCCAGTTAAATGACAAGCAGTTCAACATCAGTCATAAGCAAACTATTAAATTTAATAAAAAGCATGATTGCATATGAAACAAAGTATTTTCCTTACAGTTTAATTGTTTTTGTATTGTTAAGACACACTTCTTTAGATATATATCATTGTAGTTAATTACTGGAATGCAAATGAGCTTTGGCAATAACACTTGACTTAAGATTCCTTTTTTTAAAACAGTGTAACATGTGACACCTCTTTGAATTTAGCACTAAAAGTTAAAACATTATAATACTTGACTAGGTCACTCCTAGATTTTAATTTGCTTTCATCATTTTCTTAACTGATTGAATGAGGGACATCACTTAAACAGTCTAAGAAACGTCACTTAAACAGTACAAAACATGACGAAAGAAACCTCCAGTATTACATGCAACTCCTACATTTTCTATTGCTGTCTTCTGAAATGAGTAAATCCTTGCTGTAAGATCCAATTTTTGCCGGTTTAATAATTTTCTTGTCATCAAATCTTTCATACTGAGAATCGCAGTAATCCACTGAATTGATGATCTCTGGTAATCAAATGAAATGTTGATCTTTGGTAATCCAACGACTTCTTTGCATTTTCACAGATATATATATATATACAACAGATAGGAAGCTCTAAAAATAGATAATAGTCAGATTTAGACCCACAATCCTTTGCAGGCTTTGGTGATAATTGGGTTTTCTCGATAGTCTCCAATTTTCGCACTCTCGTTAAACTTGGACGATATCCATGAATTATTGTTTACATACCCCGACATAGATTTTCATCAGAGAAATATTTGTATAGAAAGTGTGTATAGTACCTTTTACAATAAATAACTATTGCTTTCTATTTAAGCAAAAAAATGTTTCATCTTCCTCCGGGAATCCAATATGACGGTGTTTTGGCTATTTTTACCCAGGATGCATCAAATCTCTGAAAATCCCGCAACATATGATAACTTATAAGAACACAATTCTGCCAATACTGAATTTAACTGTGTGACATCACAGTTTCTTCTCCATGTTTATTTAGCTCCATGGCATTTTGTACAACTTGCCCTCTTTCAATTACGGTAATACCTGAAGAATTTATGACAGTTTCTTTATCAAACGT